GTGAAAAAGAAATTTCATCCTCTTTGCATTCTATGGCTTTATGTATCAGGATACAGTAAAAACTATCTGGCCTTAGCAGTGCTTAAAGGTAGGTAAATACTTCAGATGAACAATAACACGTGGCATATTATATACTATGTCATATTCATTTTACAAAAGAAAGGCCAAAATAGAGAAGCCATGTGTGAAAAAGTAAGTACATTGTTGTGGAGCAATTTTGAGGTTTCATGGGCATTTGTCTATGCATAGCTCTCTTGAGTCTTGCCACAGTATCTCAATCAGGTTGAAGTCTGGTCTTTGCCTGGGCCATTGCATCACCTTGATTCTTTTGTTTTTCAGTTATTATGTTCTAGATTTCTTGGTTGACTCAATGACTGCAAGATGCCCGTGTCATGTGGCTACAAAACAAGTCCAAATCATAACCCCTCCACTATTGTGGCTTGATGGATGGTCTGAGATGTTTGTGCTGATATGCTGTGTTTGGGTTCACCAAACACGGCACTGTGCATTATGGCCAAACATCTCAATTGTCTAAAGGACAGTATTTCAGAAGTATTTCAATGCTGGAGGTCAGCAAACTCCTAAAATTTCTTGTGATTTGATCAGATATAACTCTGCCAACTTAAAGCCTTGCTTCCATGTTCTTTTTGGAGAAAATGTTTCTCCTGGCCACCTTTCCAAACAAATCATATTCATTCAATATTTTTCTAATTCTATAATATAGCATTCTAACTCAGGCCTGAAGAATCTGAGATGCAATTCTTGGATTTTTTTTGCAATTTCTCTAAGCATTGCATGGTCAGCCCCTGAAGTAAATTTCTGGGACATCCATTCCTGAGAATAAGACAATTCTATTGAATGTTTTCCATTTCTGAATAATCTTCTTCAGTGCAGAATAATTGATTTTAAATTATTTGGAAATGGCCTTATAACCTTTCCCAGACTGATGGGTAGCAACAATTGCTTCGCTAAGATCACTGCTGATGTCTTTATCCTCCACCTCAATGCTGGAGGTCAGCAAACTCCTAAAATTTCTGTTTTTATAGAGGTAATCACACTTGCTGATGATCAATTGATAAAGGATACTTGATTAGCTTCTTCAAACCTATAGAAGCAGTAAGGATGTACTTAGTTTTTTGCACATGGGTTCCCCATTTTGGCTTTATTTTTCTAAAATAAATGATAACATAGTGTTGTTCATCTGAGGTTGTATTTATCTACTTTTAACAACTGTTAAGGACCGGATGATTTTTACTATGTTCTGATCCATAAAAGAACTCAAGGACTGTACAATATATGACAGGTCAAATGGGTTGCAAATACATATAGAAGTTTATAAATTTTGGACCTGCTTTGCAAGGGGGGGTGGAAACTATTATTGCTGCAATATATTTGTCATTGTTCAAATAATTTTTTTGTTGTTTTTTGTCCTTTTAATTCACATTTTTAATGTTATTGTTTAGTTTTGTTTTGTCTTTGCTAATTTTTTCCTTTGGATTTTAATCTTTTGTATAAAATAAACATTTTGAGAAAAATCAATAACAAATTTAACTGTAGATCAGATTTTTCTCAAATTTCAGCTGTTTTATTATGGTAAATTTCTTTCTTACAACCTATGTAACAAGCATTACATAATCACAAAATGGCTTAATGAAGAAAACAAGCAAAATCAATGCTAAGAACTTGAATTGGAGAATATATATATTTCTAATTGTGAACCAAATAGAATCAACAATATGTGGCTCTCCAGATGTTAAACTGGAATACACTTGGAATACTTCATCCAGTTTTGGTTGCCACAAAGTTGAGTGTCTAGAAGGAGTGCAAGAAGAGCAACAAAGATGATTAGGGACTGGAGGCTAAAACATATAAAGAACAGTTGCTAGAATTGAGTATGTCTAGTTTAATTAAAAGAAGGAGTAGGGGTGACAGGATAGCAATGTTCAAATATCTCAAGAGTTGCCACAAAGAAGAGGAAATCAAGCTATTCTCCGAAGTACCTGAGAGCAGAACAAGAAGCACTGGATAGAAACTTATTAAGCAGAGAAGCAACCTAGAACTAAGAAGAAATTTCCTGACATCTAGAACAATTAATAAGTAGAACAACTTGCCTCCAGAAATTGTGAATGCTCCAATACGGAAGTTTTAAAGAAGAGATTGGATAATCATTTGTCTGAAGTAGTGTAGAGTTTCCTGCCTGGCAGGGGGTTGGACTAGAACAGGGGTCAACAACCTTTCGGATCTCAGGGACCACTAAATTCATAATTTTAAATACCACAGACCATTAATATGATTTTTTTAAAAAGATAAATAGTATGTAGTGCAATATAAAAAATGCAAATATTTTTTCTGCAGACCACCAAATTTTCTTGTGGACCACCAGTGGTCCTCCAGTTTCTCCACAGACCACTGGTCTAGAAGACGTCTAAGGTCCCTTCCAACTCTATTATTCTATTCTGTTCTTATTCTTATCTTATTCTTACCTTTTTCTTATCTATTCTATTCTATTCATTCCCAGCCCTCAAACATATAACATATTCTGCTGTTCACTCTCATATATTTACTTCCCAGAAATATTTTAAGGATTTAAGACAGGGGTCCTCAAACTTTTTAAGCAGGAGGCCAATTCACGGTACCTCAGACTGCTGAAGGGCTGGACCGGCCGGGTGTGCATGGCTAGGTAGTCATGTGTCTCTCTCTCTTTCTCTCTCTCTCTCTCTTCCCCCTCTCTCTTTTTCTATCTTCTGGAGGTGGGGGAGGTGAAAAATGGACTGTTTTGCCAATTTTTTGGCCTCCTGGGGCATCTGTGCACCCCGTTTTTCACCTCCCCCCCTTCCAGGCAAAAATGGCATGTTTTTTGGTCAAAAATAAGCCATTTTCACCTGTTTTTTTTTTTTGTCTCTTTGGGTTTCTGTGCACCCCGTTTTTCACCTCCCCTCCTCCAGAACATCTCTGTAGACCAAAATTGTTGGCCCTACCTTTCAGTTCCAGCCTGTGGGACTCACGAAGATAAGTCCTGTGCTCGGCCAAAGGATGGGCGGGGTGATGTGGGTGGGGTAGTCTCATGGTCTTGCGTGGGCTAGATTAATGGCTTCAGCAGACCCATGTGGCCCATGGGCCATAGTTTGAGGACTCATGATTTAAGATTAATAAAGAGAACCAGTTTGGCGCATCAGATTAGAAACCAGGAGACCATGAGTTCCAGTCCCCCTCAGACAAAAAGCCAGTTGGGTGTTCTTGGGCCAGTCACTCTCAGCCCTAGGAATGAAGGAATGGCAAACCATTTCTAAAATCTAGTAATTCTAGTAGTTTTCTAGTAGAAAAAGTAGTTCCTAAGTATTTTGTGGGAATATGGCTCAATATCCAGAAAATAGCAATAGCACTTAGACTTATATACCGCTTCTCAGTTCTTTACAGTCCTCTCTAAGTAGTTTACAGAGAGCATATTGCCCCCTCAAAATCTGGGTCTTCATGATAAGCTTTGCATTTCAGAATTAAATCCAACGCAAAATTTCTTTCAACATAGAAACCACTTTTGACATATAATTCTTTGTATCAGTTTGTATCATGTTTCAAATGTGGAGTTTTCTTAATATACAGTCTTAGCTTTCTAAATTTCAACAATCTGTTAAATAAGGATGGATCTTTCATTACTTAGACAGAAATTATTATTATTATTATTATTATTATTATTATTATTATTATTATTTTATGATTTATACAATCTTATTACTGTTATTGATATTTATATATTACTCATATTTTAACATTGACAGTTTTTAAAATAATAGTATATACGATATATTCATTTACATAAAACTAATTAATAAAGCTAATTAACAAATAAAACTGGTTAATGACCAAATGAAATTATCTAAATAACTATGTAATTTATCTAACTTTAGGTAAAAATCTACGTTACAAATTTAGTCCAATTAAATTCTGTGATGCTGGTAAAATCCCTATGCACTATTATACTTTATTTTTTCTTTTCTTTTGCCTTTTTTATTTTGACTAGTTTAATTTTCTATTTTTATTTTCAAAAATATGTAATAAAATATAATAATAGAAACAACAATCCTAATAACAATCATAAGAACAGGATAGGCAGGATTGTTCCCTATTGATCTGAGAATAATAGGCAAATATGCACAATAGATACTCTTTTTTTCATTTTGTTGCTATTTTAACTCCCTTGTTTGGGTATTTAACAGAGACAGAGGGGACAAAATAATAGTTTCTTTCCATTGAGAGTGCTGGCAACATGCCTAATAAACTTGATGGAGAATGCTCAGAAACTGTTTCTTTGAAAAATAAAACTCATTTCAAATGCCATTTTCTCCGAAAGTACAGTTGTGGATTTCAGTGATAGTTAAATTTGCCCCCCCCCCAAATATTAATAGCAAATCCTTTACTTAAGAAAGTCCTAAACAGGAATTAACCTAATTGCAAAAATAAATATTCTCCACTGTTCGTCTGTTAATGTGTCCTTGACTCATACTGATTTCTTCTGCCAATTTTTAATTAGAAGCTGAGAAACATCATCATCCAATTATTCACCATTTTTAAGTACAATAATAGGCAGAATTACTGCAAAAGTTTTGTTCCATGCTTGTAGATCCAAAGTTTACCCCAATGTTTTTCAATCATCCCTAAAATGTTTGGACTTCAACTCCCAACATGCCCCGGGGGAATAAGACTGGAGTCAAAGGGTGGGTAAAGATACACTGAGAAGTCAAATGGCACCACCTTGTGTAAATTACTCCTCAATTCTTTATCCTCTAAAACATAGGGCTTTATTCAGGACTCATCGGAAAAGGGGACTCTAAATATTTGAAAATACTCCTTGATATGTTCACATTAGCAAAATTGTTCATGATTGTATAAAAATCATCAAATCATGATTATAACAAGTTTTATATCTGTCCCTCCTTCTGCTTCTTCCCCTCATTTTTTTTAAAGTAAAATCTTACCTCAGAACAAAAATAAAGATCTCTTACCCGGCAATCTTACAGGTTTCCATGGCGCAGAGTTTGGCACATAAGCTTGTTTAGTTGCAGTAACTATTAGCTGACTGTCCAGCTTATACTGAAACTTGATGAAGGCAGTGCCATCTGCTCTGGTGTTTCCTGAAGCAATTGGAACCTGGTTGGTAAAAATCTCGATAAAGGCTTCTGTGACTGGCTGATGTGTGCTGGCATCACTGACATGAACCTTCAGAGTCACTTCTGCAACAAAAACAGAGTGTTAATTAGCACCTTTCACCTTGGTAACATGATAGAAACAATGCAGAAGTGGAAAGGAGAGGACCAAAGGTTTTATCTTGACTCTTAAAATGTTCCTGTATGTAGAAGTGTTCCTTGCCAGTGATGGAGCAATAGCTAGTGTTGTCTGAAAGTTGTGGCCAAAAAATTCATGCTGATGGCCACAGTGGGGCAACACATCTTAAAAAATAAACAGAGCTTCAGTCATACCACTATGACTGCCAGCTTGAATTTTTTGCCCTCTTATGGACGCCCCTATGCCTGCATGACAAATAGATTCCCAAGAAGAATTTATAATTATATGGTCAAGTATAATCAAATAGTAAGAAGGAAGCAACTATTGATGGTCTAGAAATACAGTTTTGGGGAGAATGAGAGATTAGGAGGGGCTTTTGGGAGATATTTGAGAGGCGGAAAGGCCACATGACAGCATCCTTCTCTTTATATTACTGCTTCCATCTGGCAGAGATTACCAGCCCACCAGTGATGTGCGGTGAGGTTTATGGATGGTGAGGCACTGACACAGTGGTGGGTTTCAATTTTTTTTAGACTTGTAGACTTCAACTCCCAGAATTCCACAGCCGGGCGTGCTCAGTTCCGATTTAAAGAGACAGCATTTGTTTTTCTCCTTTGCGAAAAAGTTCCTTCATTCTTTTTCTTCTCCCTCTCCCTCCTTCCTCCCTCTCTCCGTCCCTCCCCTCTCTCTCAAACAGACACATGCACACAGAGAAGTTGGATTTGTCTATCTCTCCTACCCCCTTCCCTCTCTCTCTCTCAAACACAGAAGTTGGATTGGATATATTTTCCAATGGCTTGAAAGCAGCTCCTCTGCCATACCCCCCCCCCATTCCCCTGCTGCCTTCCCCAAACACCTCCACCTTTGCAAGTGCAGCCTGCTGTCTGGGTGGGAAATGCCTGATACACAATAAAGCCC